ACCTCCACTAGTTTTGTTCATAGTGATGCTTCCTAAAGCCCACTTGACTTTACATTCGGGATGTCTGGCTCTAGGTGAGTGATCACATCACTGTGATTATCTGGACATCACCAGATGGTCAACACTGAAATTAGATTGATTATATTCTTTGCAGCCAAAGATGGAGAAGCTCTATATAGTCAGCAAAAACAAGACCAGGAGCTGACTGTGGTGTGGATCATGAACTCCTTATTGCCAAATTCAGACTTAAATTGAATAAAGTAGGGAAAACCACTAGGCCATTCAGGTATGACCTAAATAAAATCTCTTATGATTATACAGTGGAAGTGAGAAATAGATTTAAAGGACTAGATCTGATAGACAGAGTGCGTGATGAACTATGGATTGAGGTTTGTGACTTTGTACGGGAGTCAGGGATCAAGACCATCCCCAAGAAAAAGAAGTGCAAAAAAGCAAAATGCCTCTCTGAGGAGGCCTTACAAATAGCTGTGAAAAGAAGAGAAGTGAAAGGCAAAGGAGAAAAGAAAAGATATACCCGTTTGAATGCAGAGTTCCAAAGAATAGCAAGGAGAGATAAGAAAGCCTTCCTCAGCAATCAATGCAAAGAAATAGGGGAAAACAACAGAATGGGAAAGACTAGAGATCTCTTCAAGAAAATTAGAGATCCCAAGGGAACATTTCATGCAAAGATGGTCTCAATAAAGGAAAGAAATGTTATGGACCTAACAGAAGCAGAAGATATTAAGAAGAGGTGGCAAGAATACATAGAAGAACTATTTTAATGATTATAAACTATTAAACAAAAGATTCATTTGTTCAGGCCTTTTTAGGTTACGTGTTTACTGGTTTGTATTTTCCCATGCTGAGAAAATGAGTGATTATTTTATTCAAAATGCTTTCCCACCAATTTTTGCTTGATATAAAAAAAAATTGTGTTGATGTCAACAGTTGTATTAAGGGAAGTATGCTATCTTATCCCATAAGAAAATGAATATAATGTGATCTATTTATAGATGCATGACAATCAAATATAATAATAAAAATAATGCTTAAGATACATTGACAGAACTATGAAACTTGTTAAAAATTGTAGGCAATATTGTTTCAATGGTAATAGCCATTAAAGACATCAATAAGAATATTTACAGTAAAAAGGCTTATGATCCTATAAAAATAGTGGTCTGCCATATGGTTGATGTCAAATAAATGTAATGATACAAATTTTGTAACGTCACAGAGAAAGACCTTTTGGGGTATATTTATCCATTCATTTAATCTCTATAACAATCTTGTACTTTGATCCTGTAACTATCCTATATATTTAGATACTATTATCCACATTACAGAAAAGAAAACTAAAGTTTGGCAGGTTTCTGTAACAAGTCCAAAATGATCTAGCTGGAATGTTGCCACCCTGAAATGAATCAAAGACATGATGATTAGGTCTGTGGACTTTTCACTATGACCAAGAAAACACTGATACTGAAAACATTCTAAAAACTTATTTTGCAAGTGATTTTCCAACTTTTTGAAGCTGACTTTCTCTTCTGATATTTTTAAAGTTTGAAACCTTAAAGATGATCAAATTGTTTTTCTTTCATCATCCATTTTGTGGTATCATTTCTTTCATTTACCCTTGTCCATTATCTTTGTTTTATTGACAATCCTTCTTTGTCTAGCGCTATGACTAAGACATTCCCAGCTTATCTTCATTTTGTGATTCCCTCAAAGTGGAGATTTTCATGACAGTAATGCAAGGAGGGGCAGAGAGAGGTGTCCATGGTGGTCTAGTCATGTCCGACTCTTGCGGTCCGTGGAGTGTAGCCTGCCAGGCTCCTCTGTCCATGGGATTCTCCAGGCAAGAATACTGGAGTGAGTTGCCATTTCCTTCTCCAGGGGATCTTCCCGACCCAGGAATCGAACCCAAGTCTCCTGCATTGCAGGCAGATGATTTACCAACTGAGCTATGAGGGAAGCCTAGGGGTGTCTATACATCTGTGTTTCACTGAGAGTGGAGATAAAAGGATTAGTGCTCACTTTCCCAATCAGATTACAGCAGCAGTAACTTTTCATTTATTTTTCTATAAAAAAATGTGGGGGTTGGGAGAAGCAGAATTTAAGCATGAGAACCATATAGATGACAGCTATGAATCACACTGGTTTTCTCTTTGATCTGAAAAACTAGGCCATTACAGTCATAATGCATTTTGGCTACCATGAAAAACTTTGCAGAAGTCAGGCTTTTAAATATTAAACCTGTATTGAGTTAAACCTCATGAACTTGATGCTAAGTATAAGAGGATAAGACATGAAGAGCAGTTAATTTAAAAAATTTTCCAATGTATGTATCATTTAAACATATTTGCTTAGAATTCAATTGCATGTATATACCATAATCTATTAAATCTCCTATTAGTGTATTTAAAATTCATCATTATCCATTATCCATCAGTACAATGATAAATATCTTACTTTTTGGAGCTTTGCTCAAATACATATTATTACTATAGGATATAGAACTCTTATAGAGTCTCTGTATTATTATCTACGTTTTACCAAGACATTTTGAAGACTATATAGTTTCTTTGTTTGTAACAGAAACTCAGTGAAGCTAGCTTAAGAAAATATGTGGAATTAATTATAAGGATATAATATGGTTCAGGAAAACGAAGGCTAGGAATTCCAGAAGGAAAAAACAAGATCAAGAGTTAAAAACCCAATGGGAATCAAGCAGTTGTCTTCTCAGTCTCTCAAATGCCTTCTTCCTCAAACTATGTCATTGCTTTCTCTGTGGATTCCTTTTCTCGATCCTCCTGGCTCTGCCAGAGCATATTCAAGGCCCACTGATAGACATTTCTAAGTTTTAAGTCATAGAATCAGGAGAATCTGACTGGCTTAACTAGACTCTCATCTCTAATCAGCTAGGTTTGAGTGGATCATATTGTACAAACAGGGCTGCTGGGGAATCCAAGTTTGTGGTTAAGTTAGCCCTAATCTCAAAGAAAAGGAGTGTGGTCTGGGAAAACATTCTAAGTGGTGTGTATACTCTAGTAAATTTCCTCCTATGACAGAGGACAAGCATCTATCTATAGGTGGCAAAGTATATTTCTTTCCTCCATACCATCAGATCTTGGTAAGGAGGCTTCCAGCTCTCTGAGTTTTGTTATTCCTCCTCAACTTGAGTGATACGGGTGTTTCTATTTTGCTGATGGCATTATATTTTAAATATACATGTTATATAATTTGTACATGCATACTTGTATTGTACAATTTATATATGTAATGTGTGTATAGCTCTATGTTTATGAACAAAATTTTAGAGATCTGTATTCATTAGACTTAAATGTATTAAGTTGCCATTCTTAGCACTGTATAAAAGGCATACAGAAAATGCTTAATGCATGCTTGTTACTATCTTTTCAAGATAGTCTTCCTATCTGAAAAGGCTGGACACAGAACAATTATCTGCCCACTTTTAAAAATCGTTGCATGTTTTATGTAAGCCTATGTGGATCCTGCTGAACCGATGTGTTTTGTAAGCTTTTCTTTGATAAGATCTGCTGAATAAAGCATGTACAGACCAAATGTGGTGAGCCTGACCTGAAAGTGAGAGATGGGGAGCTAGGGTCCTATGTGGGCTAAACACAGCATCTGCTAG